AAAAATGTATTCTGTTAGATAATCGTAATAGATGTCTGCTTGACGTATATTACTTTATCAGATGTGCGATAAATGTGCATCCAATCCATAATATCGTTTGATCAATCTTTCAATAGAATTAGCTTTGATCACACTGAGAAAAATGATTTGATTGTATCAACAAGATGTATATAGTTAAATGCATTTTGGTTAAATCTAGTAGAATTTCTGGTTATTATAACAGGACTCGAGATTTTATAACTAGACCGTTTGGTAGATTATACTATAAGAATTTGTTTAATATTTTCCAGTTGGATCTACAAAACATCTAGTTATATTCACTAGATATATGCAACATTATCAGAATTTTAGTTAACGTTAGCGCACCCTAGGCATGGCAGTTTTATTATCGTGCAAGTTAGCACAAGTTGGCGTGAATCGAGCGAATGTGTATATTCTTTCTATTGTTTTGTATCGCGGCATAAACCTTGTTTTTAGAACTCGATCCGAGTTCTCGGATCGTGAAATGTTTAGCCAATCAGCTTACAGTTTTTACGGAAAACCGGGAAGTTCTAGCATCGTGGACACAAGGCTGTACCGCATACATCGCGCATCGTGATCGAGTCGAGCGTCGAGCGTATAATAGTATATCGTGTTATCTTGTACTTACTGAAGTGAAGTCAGTGTAGTGAAACACGAAGTGACACAATTATTACTGCAAGATGGACAAGACTTTTGTGACCTCTCTGAATAGGTTAGAAAGAAGAAAAAGTGGAACGAAGTTATTATGTAGCTGATTGACGAAAAAATATCTCCACATAACATAATTTGATTATATTATTTCATTATAATATTACATATAAAATAAATTTAATTTAATAAAGTGAAAAAAGATAAACTTATAACGAAATGTTAAATTTAATTAAAAATTCTGATTTTGCTATTTACATTCCTTTTGCAGAAGTTTAGCTCGCAAAGAATTTCTTTTCTTTCAATCGTTAATTATAATCTTGTATATGTTACTTGTTTATATCATCAGCCATTGATAGTTCATTAAACTATATCTATTAATTTTTTATTGAACTGTACCGAAAATGTATAAATATCAAATGTGTGAATATTTTAAGCTTATGCTATCTTAAGACATTTTCTGCTTGCCAAAAGACGATTCAAATGCAGTGGTGCACTTGATGTAGCAAGTACAGCATTGGTTGGCGTCAGTCTAAAAGTAGCGACGATTCAGCATCATTTCGCGATACGAAGATTGTCGAGCGACTAACACTCCTGTTTGTTGCTCCGATTCATCACGCTTGTATGATTTGCACGAATAATAACTCGTAAACTGTGAAAATCAATATATAATGTTAATATTTTTATTTGGCGCAAAGTGATCGTGATCGCGACAAAATAAATAACGACTGACCTTCGAAAGTACGGAAGATAAGCATTTTCCGTCATCGTGACGTAAGATCGATTTTGATATTACCAGTGTCAAGAATATGAAGTTTATAACTCTTCGTGCGTCGATACAAATACAACAAAAGCCGGAAATAAAAGTGATCCACGTATATTATTAGAAACGCAATTAAACAACCAGAAAAGAGAGATACGTATATTTGTTGGACACTACAGTGATGGAACTTTTCGCTAATTTTATATTAAAAAAAAGAAATTTGTCGAAGAATTTATCACGAAAAATTAATGTGGTATCACACTTCGCATTAGAAAAATAATGGTAGTTTTTATAAAGAAATAAAAAAATTTTATTAATTATATATCATTTAAAAGAAAAAAAAATATCACTATTACAGAAATGTATGTTATTTCGGCAATATGAAATTTCGCGCGTTTAATGGTTCGAAAACGCACGGCGGAAATTAAGGTGGTTCACCAGAGCGTTATTAAGAAAGCGTGCCTACAGCCGGTCCGTCGAGATGACATTTATTTATCGATATCCCGCGGGAAGCTTTGGAACAATTTATAAACGAATTGCTCGAGGAAGTTCCGCGAATGGAACTTACTCCCATAATTTCCTACGGAGAAATACGTCCAAGTGTAAGAAAGAAATGAGCATACAGACGGAAATGAAAGAGCCCCGAACTGTTTCCTCGGAGAAAGCAGGTGTGTGAAATTGTGGATCGAGGGGGTTGGTTACGTAACGTCTCCGGTGACCCTTGTAGTCGCGCAAAAATAACTCCAATTTCTCGGTCTGGCAAAAAGGGAGACAGCGAATTTTATTTCGCACTGCTATTTCTCACTGCGGTTCTAGTTCGTGAAACGCGAAAAATTCGATAAGTGCAATTCTATCCGAGATCAACCTTAAAATGATGAACGCTCCTACAGCTACAGAATTTACAGTTCACGGATGTACTTTTCGAGATTTCAATTTGCACTTATCGTTAGTTTTCAATCGAGAGATACGTAATACTATTAAATTCTACATCAAAATATCAAGTTTTGAAACGATACTTTTATTATAAGAAGTTAATATATAATAAATATATATATATATTATTATATAATAATTTTTAGATTCTTTTAGATTCAAAAAATATAAATTAACAGGTCTAAAAAAAATTTGGTATAGTCTATCTAAAACGGCGTCTTATACAATGAGATTTTAAGGCGTAAAACTTAAGCTTCAAGTTTCAAATCGTAAAAAATTGACCAATTACAGTCGAATGAAAGGAAAATCATCAACTATAATTGGTAAATTTCTTACAGTTTAAGACTCATTGTAGACTTAAGCTTTACTCCAAATTACAAGTCAAACGAATATGTCAATTTTGGGCCTAATATTTGCTAATATTGAAGTAACGTTTTATTATCGGAGAAAGCTAATGAACTCATATAAAGAGCTAATGGAGCGGACTATTAAGAGACTTGCAAGCGGCTGTTGTCGATCGATAAAATAAAATGGCTAACGACATAGACGCAGAGTGCTTAATCGAGGTAGTTTCTAGTTTAAATTGAAAATAAGATGTACACTGAAAAAAAAGATTGGCTGCTGCAGCAAATTAGATGGTAAAATATGGCATAGCATTTTTAATTGCTGCAGCAGCTAATTTTTGATTGCAGCAGCCAATTTTGGGTTAGCCTATCCGCAATGTCAGTATAGGATTTCGATTGGCTGCCGTAACCAAAAATTGGCTGCTGCAACTAATTAAAAATGCTACGCTATATTTTATGATATAATTTGCTGCAACAGCCAATCTTTTCTTTCAGTGTAACTATATGTTCAAATTGCCCAAAAATGCTTTATGCTGTCCAATCGAAACTTTGATACTCGCTTTCGCAGTGATTAAAGCATAGAACAAAAAGTTCTATGTACATTTTTATAACAAATTGAAATCGTGTTTTAAATAAAATTTTTACCTTATTACTACACTCAAGGAAAAGATTCGCTAAATATGGCATTTTTAATTGGTTGCAGCAGCCAATTTTTAGTTGTGTTAGCCTATCGAAATCCTATACTGATATTGCAAATGAGCTATCGCAACCAAAAATTGGCTGTTGCAGCCGATTAAGAATGCTGTGCCATATTTTACCAGCTAATTCGCTGCAGCAGCCAATCTTTTTTTTCAGTGTGCAGATTTACTCATCCGGATAAGATTTGAAAATGGGATATTCTGCGCGTAAATCTGGTTTTTGAAATTGCCTTTTAAAGACGGGAACTCTTTGCTACCTGAGCCACCTCGATCCGCTAGACTAGATGAATCGATTTTTTTTTCATCCGGGGTGTGTCCTACTTGGGGCTCATCACATTGCAAGTATTATTTGTCCTTGTTTAACATTTGATAAACGACAAGAAGTCTGTTTTTTATTCCTATTAGAACTCTCTTTTTCGCTTTCGCCAAATATCAAGTGTATACCTATCTCACTTTAAGTTCCAAAATTGTACACGATAAGTTTAGCCATAGAAAATAGACTTAAGGATGAAATGGTTGCGAGCATCGAATAGAACGCACTGAGTGCAAGTGATTAGAGTCCGACCGAAATTTCGGTTTCGTTAAAAAATCAAGGTTTCGGTTTGATTTCGATTTCGGCTGAAATTAAAAGAAAATTTCGGTGGGTGTACCGAAACTGTACAAGTTGCAACACGCCGGTGAGCATTTAAGAAAACAACTGTTCGATTTTAATTATTAACTCGTTGATTAAGCTTAAGACAATTTGAATACAAACTTTGACATGATCCTAATATAATAATAATTGTGATTTGATTTCTTTAAAAGTTGAGGATGCAATATTATTATATTATTATATAGTTAGATATATTTTAATAAAATCTTATTTTTTAAAGAGTACATAAATTTTTCATTCAGATTTCTGAAAATCATACAGTCTCTGTAAAATTAATCCAAAAATATCAATTTCGACTCTAAAAAATGTGACTTCGTTAACCCCCCCCCTCTCTCTCTTTCTCTCTCCTTCTCTCCTCTTTCTCTCTCCTCCCTCTCCCTCTCTTTTTAGTAAGACTTATCCAAGTTTCTGTTTGGGTTTCGTTTTCGATCAAAATTGAATGATAATCGAATACCTATTCGTTGTCGGTTTCGACCGGAGGTCAAAATATGGTTTCGATCGGACTCTACAAATCGATTTTCTGAAGACCTGAATCATTTGAGGTTTGTTCGCGTCGCATGCTCCAACATGTTCCAATATGCTTCTACCATAGCTCTTATTCACTCCAACGCGCTTGATGGAGTGAGTAGGAGTAGGAACTATGATAGGAGCATATTGGAGCTTGCGACGCGAACAAACTTCAAATGATCAGGTCTTCAGAAAATCGATTCGAGATCTCTCATCCCTACCCTATATATGTATTCTGCTATCGATAGTCGTGTGAACTGACACGACGTCTGCATTGGCGATCGGGAACTTGCGCTTGCACCAGCTAGTGACCGGTTATGCGTGCATCCGTGTTTGAAGAGAACGTGTTCGGTGATTGGTAGTCACGAATGGTAGCGACGTAGTGGAGTGGGAATGAGGCATGGTATTTGTCTCGAGTGACATATAAAGTTCTCGTCGCAATCGCCGACAACTATTTTCTGATATTGTCGATCAGCTCGACACAAAACGTGCGACTTATATCGTGCTATCTGATATCGTTAACGGACCGCTCTCGGAGGCAAAAATCAGAATCGACCAATTTCTCAAGATTCTTCGCTCGCGCGACGATCGACTGATTTTCAAAGTGGTGCAATTTGTGATTTGAAAAACAAATCAGGATGCCGACGTGTGCCTGCCAGGACAGGATTCTGGACGAATCGGAGGAGCACGTTTGCTCGCTAAAGCTACCTATGGAGAAGGACAAGGTCATGGAACCCAGAGAATACGTCAATCCGGTTAGGTAGGGGCGCGTTTTTACAGACAATGAAAACTGGAAGGTCTTACCTTGCGATTCGGCCCATCAAGAATCGGTTTTAGAATCAGACGAACATTGAGAACGAACCAGAAGAGTCTGATTATATTAATTAGAATTCTGATTATCTCAATTATACTGAAAGAAAAAATTGCCTGCTGCAGCAAATTAAATGATAAAATAGCATTTTTAATTGGCTGCTGTAACCAATTAAAAATGCTATGCCATATTCAGCCAATCTTTTCTTTCAGTGTAGAATTAGTGGATTCAACCAGAAAATTCTGATTCATTCATTTTTAACCAAAATTCCGATTAATTCAACTAGATATTTTTCATTTAGATATTTTTCTTAGTGAAAAATTTGGGTTTCATTTAAATTTTTATAGCGAACTGAAACGAGCAAAAATTAACTATTTCGTAGAATAAAAATTTTAAATAAATACAATTTAAAATTAATAAATCAATTTACAATTAAGAATTTTATACTATATACTTTTATATTACATATTCCGGCTTTAGTTTAGGTAAAATACATTTTAGTATATTTCAAGATCGAAAAATAATCGGCGCGCAGTTTATATTCTGGAAATTGTAAAATTCATGCAAAAAATATTATTAAATCGCCTATTTTTCTTCTTCACTTATTTATGTTTATACTAACTCATTTATACAGTGATTTACAAAATTGATCAAGTGTACACAACAATTACTTAACGATTGATTTGAAGAAGACAATCGAGACAGAAACAGTTTCAAAAAAACTTTATAACAATTATTTGATCAGTTTCATAAGTCACTGCACACGTAAATTATTTTTTCAACTTGATGGATTAATTTTTTTTTGCACAATGTTATTTAATTACGGATTGTTTGTATATAAAATTAATTTTATATATGATGTGAATTTATGTTTGATGATTGACAAAAGAAAGATTTTTCTATAAAGAAAATGTAAGAATTAATTTTAAAAATTAAATATTAAAAGCTATAATATTGTTTTACACAAAGTGTTATTGTCAAAAGATCGAAATTAAAAATTACGGTACAATTGTGAATATAAATTGCTGACGTGTTTGTGATTTGTCATTTCATTTCATCAAATAAACTAAATTTACGCAAGCGAAAATATTTATTGATATATCGTAGTCAATTTCAACTTGTCAAAATACAGAACTTATAAAAACTAACATGCAATAAATACACAAATAGATTGATGTTTGAAAGGCTGCTTTTTCCATTTTATTCCATTAAATCCATTTTACGATGTACGGAGTTAGATCATTGTATTTGTCCTATGTAAAGTTAGCAGACAGGAATACGGAGAGTCGAGAGATCAGGTAGTACCGCAGTTAGACGAGACATTTTTTCTTTTTACGGGGAACTGGCAACTAGATCTCAACAAACAAACTCGACTGACCACAAGAATCGATTTTTCTTGCGGTATTGGTCGTGAATACTGTCGAGCGACTCGTGACTTGCCGGAAAAATACACCCTCGTTTTCGCTTGCCGAGTTTAATTTCAACCATAACTCTACATTTCGTTTCAGAAAAAAAAGACTGTAAATGTCAAGCAAACGATAAATTCCGTTTATATTTTTAAAGTAATATAAAATAAATTGGAAATTGTATTAGAACAAGTCGCTCTTGTAGTTCTGCTATAAATTATTATTATCGTGAATATGAAATTTTTTACATGAGAAAATGGAGTATTTACGCTTTTGAATTGTAACGAATTGACGTGCATTATTAATTCGTTGGTATTAAAAGATTATGTGCGCAAACTTTGGTTCATTTGTATATGTTTCTTTTACATATATTAATTGTTGAAAATGGAATAATTTCTCTTGTACGTTTATATGCCATATTAATTCTATTATAGAATATTTCAATATTAATTATACGTAATAGCTCGTAACGTTGACATTGACATTTTACGTAATTATAAATAAATTGTTGCATAATTAATTTATTAATATTATGCATGTAAGTAATACATCACTCTACGGCATTAATAAAATTATTACTCTGGTATAGCAATAGTTTATTTAAATTACGCTAACAAGAAACACCAAGTCAAAAGAACGTCAAAATGACTTTATTTTGATTTTATTTTGACGTCATGAAAGTCAAAGTGATGATTTTTTGTTAAAATTAGATTGTTTATTGACGTTAAGAATCAAAATAAAGTCAATTTGATTTTTTTATTGACTTTTATAATTTATTTTTTCGGAACACATATGTGTTCCGAAAAAATAAATTATAAACGTATTTTGTCTTTTGTTGTCCGAACAGTAGTTTTTAAAACGTAAAAGTCAAGAACTAACTAATTTTAGATGAATTATGATTAAACGGCTAATTATAAGTATCCAATTTTAAACTGCTAATTTTGGACTAATTAAGGTAATTTTAAATTAATTACGATTAAACGACTATTTGTTTGTGAGTCGCACATAGATAGTGCATGTCAATCAAACACTGTTAACGTATGGTGATTTACGAATAAATGACCGTATAATCTATGACTATAATTACACAGTTTTTAACCTTTATTCAAAAAATTATATTATAATATCGAAATGACAAATGGCAAATAGTTTTATATAAGTTATATTTTTTAACACTTTTTTGTTATATTTTGTTATATTTTAATTTACAAACTTCGGGACAGACTGATGTATAATCATATCCATAATCATTCCTTAATATACTAAAAGATGCATTTTTCACATTTATCGTAGAATATTTAAAGTAGAAAAACTCGATTATCCTTTTCTTCAGTATGAGCGAAATGAGAAGTTATTGCGAGATACGCGAAGAAGAGGTATATAGAACGATAATACTATTCTGACGATGAAACGAAGATGCATGGTTGCGTCTTGCGATGGTAATAACGGAAATATGGCGAACACAACTCTGTAGTATAGACAACAGACCGTATATCTTCACATTCCCTATATTATTCGCGTGTGAACATAGTTTCTGTCGAGCTCGCGTGAAGAGAATAATGAAAAGCCCGTCACAAAGTCATACAAAAGACAGATAACGCAAAATGAGAAATCTTGGATAGTTTTCCTCGAAGATGATATCTCAGGGTGGCAGAAAACAAGATTTTTTTTAAAGATTAAAATATTATATCAAATTAATAATGATAAGCAACAAATAGTTGAAGTTATGATCAATGAAAAAATAATTGATTAGTGATTTGACACTTAAGGAGTTTCTTTTCTTTGATTTTTATCGATGAGGAATAAAAGAAATAAAGAATTTGAAGAAATCTCTTTATCTGCTAATAAGACGGCGAACAGTTACAGTTATGAATAAAAAGATACAGCTAGGTAGATATGAATTTATATAACTGGTTTTCTTCTCCGAGTTTTACGTAATAAAGGATAAAAGGGAAGGATTTGGAGAAACTTTGTGATCGGATCACGTATTCCCGGGTGGCAACAATTTTTTCACAGATTAATATTAATTCAAAGATTCAAATCACGTTGATAATGATAAGCAATAGACGGTTGAAGCTATGGTTAGTGAAAAAAAAAATCAGCTTGTCTGGACCTTCCTTCTTCGATTTTTATTCGATAACGAAGGAAATAGAAGAAATAAAGGATTCATTGCGATTAAAAGATAAAAAGACGTGAGTAATCCTAAATATTATACATCTGTTTCTCTCCTCTGATTTTTATCTAATAACAGATAGGGAAGACGATTTCTTGTTCGGACCAACGTTCGAAGATACAAAAAACAACGTTTATTCGTCATCATAACTTTTTAATCAACGACGTTAGATCAGAAAAATAAACCCTGAATTTTTAATTCCATCCAATCCAATTAAATTGAATTCCATAATTTAAATTGATTGGAAAGAAAATATTACTGCATCTGTCTATTCAAAGTTTAATCAGTTTTAGAAGTCTTTTATTTACTTTATTAAGTAACTCGATCTCAACATCAGAACTTATTTCCCAGATAATTTCTATTGAACTTTATCAGAAACATAATCCGAGACTTGATTAATTAACTGTCATATCGTTGAGAATAAAAAAAAACCGAGACTTTTTTCAAATTTCCATGGAGACATGAATTAATAATTATTTCACATTCATCTATTTATATGTATTTGAAGAAGCGCAAATGGTAGCTTTTGAATAGCTTGCATACATAGTAAGACATTTAGATGGAAATTGGTGAACACACACACACACACATCTTCACACTGGTTATGCATGTAAAATTTCTCGAGAGGACAACGTGGACAGTGTTACAAGTTGTACACACGATGTGAGGAATATACTGATAAGAAGATCAAACACTGTAACATACCTTTTCCTATGATAATATATGTCTCATCAAACATTGAACGTATCTTTCATAAATTTTTTTCTGGGAACTTTTTTTTATTCATTCATGAGTAACGAAAAAGATTTGAATGTTCTCATTTAAATATCACATGCGATAAAAGTCGACATATTATATAATAAAAATCAAATTAAAGAATAATTAAAGACTAAATAGGAAAGAAGAGCTGAAGAGCAATACGAATGTTAATACATAATAATCACAAAATATTTATTTATATAAACGCAGTAAATTATATAAATACATGCGAGTATTTAGTAATTCACTAGTTACAGACTCTTATTAGCTTTTCTTTCCTATTCTAGATTTATTCTTACAGCCTTTTACTTTTATTATTGTTAAAGGATAATGAGTAAAACTCTATTGTGGCAAATTGTATAAGCATTTATAATTTCTTCGAACACATAGATACCATATACGTAACAGATGTCGAAGTATAACAAATGTGACTCGTGAATATTGTCCATTAGTTTAGCGATCATCATAGCTAAACGGATTAATAAACGCTTGTGATTTCACGTTTATAAATCGGAGCTATTGATAACAAGTTAGAAATTAAAGAAGTGTACTGGATACATTTACGTTGTCGAGCGATATCATACACCCAGGAACAATAGGCGAACCTAAACTATCGATTGGTATTTTCTTCCATAGAAAACTCTTCCAGGTAGTCTGAAAAAGCAAACAATCCAGCGAGCCTTAAGGTGAGCAAACAGCACTTTATTGTTCTGTTCAGCTCCATCTTGACCTATTTCTGTATTTGAAATATAATATCTTTATATAGATATTGCTTCTGACAATCCATATTCCACAACCTTCATATTTTTACTCCTAAATCTACATGTCAAAGTATAAACATTGAACCATTTTATCGAATCATTTTCCACAAATATTAAACTGTTACATGTCGCAGAGGATTCCTTCCCTATGATCACGTTATACATTCCGATTGCCGAGGCGTCAGAAACGAAATACATTTATTCGGCCATCGAACGGAGATGACTTAATTACGATGCGCGAATCCGTCGGCAGCCGGAACTGATTAGACTTACGAGTACATTAACGAAGTCAATTTTCGACGCTGAGATGCGATTGCCCGTTCCATCGTTCACCATAGAATCAAATTCATGACGTCGTGATGTCAAAGACTATCACCGCAATTTAATCGGAGCTTGGTTGTGCCTCGCGATCTAGAGATAATCCAGAGACTATTCAACGCTGAGATTTACGATATAAATACATTTATCATCTTCAATGATTTAATCGTTATCTTTAATAATATTACAAAGAAACAGTAAAGAACCGTAATGTATTATACAAAAAAAATTTTCGATTTTTAATTAATCTACAATGTTATACATTTAAATATATACTAAATATCAGAAATAAGATAATATATAATTTAAATATTATTCAAACATCATAGTTAAAAATTCTGAATATTAATTATCTTATGTAAACTCGGATAATTGTATATTTTGTAAAGAGGAATTTATCATATTCATAGCATGCATATTACGTAAACGCTAATCAAATATTTTGATGTGCTTGCAGTATTATGATTGTTATGTATTATGACATGTTATCTATTTCGCGGTGAAGTTATTCATTTATTGCATTAAATAGTTTATCGCTTTCATGACTATGCAAAAGTTTTTAAGATATTTAAGATACTTTACCATAAAATATACGTCAAACATTTTCTATCTTTTATAGGTACAGCGATGGCTCCGTACGATTACGAAACCCCAATATCGAACTCATGGATCAGGACATATTGTACCATCTCGCACTCGGCAGCGGTTCCCACGATCTGGTTGAGATGTTTGGTGACGTTAAGGTAAATTAAAGAAATTCCTATTATATTTGTACAAAGATCTGAAGTACATTTAGATAAAGAATCTTCGTTGAAATAGTTGGACAAATTTTGTTGACGTATTCTTTAGCAATTTTACGTCAACTTCTATTTAGCAAAAATTTACATAATTGGATGCCATTACATTTTGCATTCTTTTTCGATGCTCAGTGACATTTAATATTTCTTGGTAACTAAGCCCGGTATTAATAGTAATAAAGTAAGATCCCTTAAAAAATTCTAAATACACAAGATTTATTTCTATTAAAAGTCTAAAATTTAATATACAAAAGACTTTTATTTTTAATCACTTTTAATTTAAAGCTTAATTATATTGCCAGCAAAAAAAAAACACAAAGTTACATATAACGTACCTGTTGTAATTTCTCACTCACAATATAATTTTAATTTAATATAACATATGTGCTATATTATACTTATATTATAGAGTTAAAAATTACAATTAACAGATACATTACATGTAACTTTGTGTTTGGTAGATTGATATTTTATAGATATTTTATTAGTTGACCCTTGTATATTGCAAAACATATTATGATAAAGATATGTAAGCAAATATGTTATTATTAAAAATAAATTAATTAATTAAATAAATTTTATAAACATAATGTAAACATTTAATTTAATAGAGCTATATATTTTCATGTTAGATATTATGAAACTCGAATGACTCAAATATAATAATATGGTTAAAAAATAATTGCATGGTTAAAAAATTATAATTGGGAGGACCATTTTTATGGTATTATGTTATAATATTAGTAATAATAATCTTACATGTACACTGTTAGAAATGTGACCTTTACATATAAATGAAGCTCGTGGTTATGAACGAAATTAAAAGTAATGAATGATTTAACTGAAAATTAAGTTACAGTAGTTACTTAAATATAATGAACGTATACATTAAATTTCATATATCCCAAATATACTTTTCAGTTATAAATAAATTAAATTTAATGTAATGTCATGAAATTAAGTTCATAATGTGTAAATTAAAAGTATATTAAATTTCATGAAATTTTTAACATTATACAGTTCTCTCAAATATGGAAAAATTGTACTGTAAATTATGATAATCTGAACTATTAATAGTAATTAATGTAGTAAAGTGTTAAGATACAAATAGTAAAGAAAAATAACCATTTTTATGTAATAAATGCAATCGTCATTAAAGTAAATGTTATATTCTATATTTTTATTATAACTATTTTCTTAACTACATATTACAACTATTTTCTTAACATTCGCTAATTATTTACATAATGATAATAACTAAGAGATATAAGGATAAACTAATTTGCATGGTAAAGAAAAACTTAATGCATATCATAGTTGTAATGATTATATTTCAGTGTTGAAACAGCTATAATGAGTATGGTTAAAGCAATTATAAATTTATAGTTGACTCAAAAAATGATTATAAACTACAGTATTTAAATTATAGTACTTGCAATCATTTTTCTCTCCCAGTGTACAAATATTAATTATCGTCAATGTAAGAGATATTGCGATATCTGTTAGTATCGCATATATGTATATTTTTTCTTACGTCTATATCTTTCGTAATTATTAGAAAAATAATCCATAAATGAAAAATATAAAAATGTGGATAAAGAGAGAGTAGAAATTTTCAAGAGTTTCGCTTCGTTTTATTTCTATGTTTTCTTATTTATTTTTCTTCGTAGAGAAATCGAAAATAATCATTATAAAAACGACAGACTTAAGGAAAAATTGGTACATCGAAATAAAATGAATAAAATCTTTATTTGCATGGATCGTTATAAAGTCACTGTCAGTTATGTTTTAATAATTTATTTATGAAATTAATTCCAAATTGGATCAAATATGAATAATATTGCACCATAAAACGTTAATTAGATTATATTTTGCATTATAACATTTATCATCTCGTATAGGTACTCCAAGCATTGCGCATCGCTTGGAGTGGAAGAAACGGTACCGAGATGACAAATGTTATAATAAAAAATATAATCTAATTAACGTTTTATAGTACAATATTATTCGCATTCGATCCAATTTGGAATTAATTTAATAATTTCATAAATAAATTATTGAAACGTAACTGATTGATTTTATAATAATGCGAATAAGGATTTTATTCATTTTATTTCGATGTATCAATTTTTCTTTAAGTCTGGCATTATTATAATGATTATTTTCGGTTTCTACACGAAGAAAATTATATAAGAAAACATACACGGAAAAAAAGATATAGTTCACATAACTAAAACCATTTAGTTGTGAGCAATATAGAAACGTCATCCAAGTTATGTTTATGTAATAGGAATGTGTATGGTTGATACGATTTATTCACTTTGATGTGTCAACTACATCAATGTAATTAGGTGCGATTTGGTTGCGACAACCAAAACTTGATTGGGGGATCATTTATTATGGATAAGTTATATATCCGTATAGTTGCGTCAATCGTGACATTATAAAGCATAATGTATAATAATAAGAATTAAATTATTAATAAAAATTTCTTGTTACATCATGCTATAAATTAAGTTGCAATTTCAAAAAGCAAAAGCGACTCACCACGCTTACAATTAAAAATATATATATGTGAAATGCCGTCATTGCTGCAACATAATCTAACCTAACCATTGTACTATGGTTCAAGCAATGTTACGTGCCACGTAACTATTGTCGAGTCACGTTTTTAATATAAAGTTTTCTACACATATTTTCCTAAACATTTCTGACAACCTTATTTCTGGCTGTTCATCTTATTTGCTTCACCTATCATTTTTCCTTTTAACCCTTTTTTTATTATTCTAAAGACCCTTTTTGAAACCCAGTCTTACAAAATATTTTATGACTCGTGTCTAAACAGATTCTTGAGTCATCGACATATTCCTTTAGTTTCCTTTACCCCTTTCACGTATATTTTTAGTACTCGAAAAGTCTCACGCTATTGGTTAGAATTGATAGAGAACCATATTTTACTATTTAATCTGGTTGGCATCACCAGATTTCTGTGCAGACCAACCATACTGTTTTTTCCGTGTAGAAATAAAACGATCTCCCAGCGATAGCGAAACCCTCGAAAATTTTTACCCTCCTTTCTCTATCTCTAATTTGTACTTTTCGAAGATCCCTTTCAGTTATATCGTTGGAAAATGTTAAATTTAACACATTTCGCGTGTCCACTCAAATTTATGTGTTAATTTAATACAAGATGAATATGTTAGAAGGTAACACAAATAATTATTTTTAAAAAATAAATACAAAAAATTAATATTGACACAGTTTGTAGAAGCATGTTTTTTTTCAATGAAATTAACATTTTAGGATATGTTAAATTAACACATATTTTATTTATTCATCTTAGAATTTAAAACACATTATTTTTACGTTATTTGTTCATTTATTCATAAATTATGTCATTTTGGCACTAAAAAATATCAATTAAACCCCAAATATTTAAATATCACATTGTGTTAAATTAGCACTCGAATATATTAAAAAATCAACTTAAAATTTTAACGAAGGCTTGAATAGACCATTTTCAACACAAATGCAAAACGTTTTTTACTGTGTATGCGTAATTTTGTTTTCTGATTATTAAAATAACTCTAATTTGTCTTCTTTTCAACGTTTAAACTTATCGCATATAAAAAGCAAAATAGTATGACGCAAGATGTTATATCACTTAGTATTGGACTTCTGGCTTCCCGTAAGGTCCAAGAAGCAATTATACGTAACATTCCTGACAGATATTTATTACATTTGTCAATAATCGATTAGTCAACACATCCTTGCTTTCTGCACTTGACATACGATCTGGATCAGAAATGGGAAGACGCACCACTCGTGAAGCTATCGATGTCACGCGATACGCTCGTGATGTCAGCCAACATCAATAAATCGCAAAATATACTTCAATGACGTGCGATTACACCATCGGCCACCGCTCGTTTATTTTTACTATTGTAACCGATGATCTTTGACATTTAAGATGAATCAGGACGTTTGAAGATTCAGGTCAACATCACTTTAACGATGAACTTGCCTTACTGTCTCTCTTTATCAATTGCATTGTTTCTCTATTTGAATCACTTATTATTCTAACTATTATTTTAAAGATTATTGTTTTAACAATTGACCTATTTTCTCTTCTTTTCGTGCCAAACCACTTAATATAATTGCGCACTTCTCTCGTTACAGTTCGTCTGCATGGGCGGAACACCGAAAAGGATGGAACATTTCGCTAACTACATCATGCAGGAGATAGGTCACAAGCTGCCAGCTGGAACGACCCTCCTCGATATCACCAAAAATTCCTATCGCTATTCAATGTACAAAGTCGGCCCGGTTCTCTCTATCAGCGTAAGTCTTTCATAAGTACCTATGCTTCCCTCAACGTGAAACATTTTTTCCCTTAGACGACAATTTTATTTATTCGTTATTTAGTTCGTTAATTAGGTATCGAGAAAACGACGAGGTCAAGTACGACGACGGCCAAGTGGTTCTTTAAAACATCTCATACCGTTCGCTACTGCGATTGGAATGTGGAATAGACTGTATACTGAAAACTCTACAGCCATGTTTCGAGCAAATTTACTTTTGCATAATTAAGTCGTAGGTACCCGTTTAACACAACGTTAATGAGACGAGCGCATTTACGATACACTTGAAAGTTGTTATCCTTTCAGTCGTGACTGAAAGTGTAATTTCGCATAATTCGAATACATTGATAATTTCTTTTATATTCAGAGATGGAAATTATAGTATTAAATTAATACTATAATTTCCAATTAAATTAATTTTTATAATTGCATAAAAATGTATATATATATATATCAATATTTAAAAAAACAATATCAATTTCAAAATTAATTAACTTGGTAGAAGCTTTTAAAGATTTTAAGAATAATAAAATAATAACGCAGTATATTACATTAAGTTTCATTTCTTAATAGAATATTATAAAAAATTAAAAGTATATATTAAAGACTGATTTTAAATAAGCAATATCTTTAAGCACATCTTTAAAAAAAACAACGGCTGCGTTCAGCAGAGAAAACTAATTAATTAGCGCTTAGTAATTCTTTAATATAATTGGTTCCTACACTTAAATTCTGCGAAGAACTAAAGGCAAGAACCAATTATATTAAAGAATCACTAAATGCTAACTGATTAATTTTTTCTGCTGAACGCAGCTAATGTCAATAATTCGAAGAAGAAAAATTCCTGCAGAGTCTCGCGATAATAAGTATCGTGATAAGTAACGCTATTAGAGAGCATAATGTTTAAAAAGAAAATATTACAATATTCTAATCTGTAGGTTAAATGTGACACCGATGTAATGAGATAGACAATTCATTTCTAGCAGGCAAATAAATCCACTAACATTCCATACTAATCACGCTCGGCATCTGCTTTGCTCCGCTGTACTCTACTTACGTTGTTTACATGCCTGGACGATTAAACCATTTTTCATCGCTTCGCGCGAATTACACACGCGGTATGCTGAATGAGTTGAGAGGAATTCGGCATATACAATTATGTTATCTGGTTGCTGAAATTATTATTTATTGAAACTCGGCAGGAATATCTCGGGGTCCTTACAAAAGCGAACGAATCTGATATCGCAGTACAAGTTCTGTAGTACAAGACATATGTCGAAATAATAATCGTTTTCGTTAGTTGTATTTGTGATAAATATACTACCAAATTTTATGAGAAAGAAAATTTATAATAAAAGGAAACACGACTATTTAAAAATAAAATGTTTATATCTGTTTAGCATGGAATGGGTATACCTTCAGTAAGCATTCTGCTCCATGAAGTTATCAAGCTGATGTACCATGCAAAAGTAAAGGATCCAATTTTCATCAGGATTGGCACTTGCGGTGGTGTCGGCTACGAAGGTGGTACGGTAATCATCTCGGAAGAAGCTCTCGATGAAATGATGAAACCTTATATGGAATTGGTTAGTGGTTTTATAAAATCCATACGAAATAAAAAAAGAGCAAAAAAGATTCAATTAATTCAAAGCTTGTTACATTATTATATTTTTATTTTTCCTAACTAATTAATTGAATTTTGTCTGCAGACTGTTACGATTATGATTTACAATATAAAAGAATTGAGAGAATTAACACGTACTAGAACTTAAAGTCAAAATAACTGATTTGTACACAACTAATAGGAAATAAAGCCTATAACGGTCGAATTTCCTATTGATTGTGTACTCACGTGTACGGACCAGTCAATAAAATTTTTATTAACTGGTTTGTAGTTTTTTATAAAATTTACTCAAGGAGAGTACATTTTTTCACGACCATTCGGGGATCTTTTTATTTCTACATTTTCTTATATATTTTTCTTCATGGTTACCAAAAATGATCATAATAGTGATAATTATTACGATAAATAACAATTATGATAATTTTTAGTTCTTTGAATGTAATGATAGCTACACACAAGGAAAAATTAGTACATTGAAATAAAGTTAATAAAATTTTTGACATGTCATTACAAAAAACATATATTTTTCAATCATTTAAAAACTAATTCAGAGTTGAATCAGCAACATGTACACTGGAATACCAATTAAGGAAATTTCGGAGCGAATACCAATTAGAGTTAAATAATAGAAATTAATCGTCAATAGTTTTGGTATTAAACGATAGTGCGTTGCAGATGGTACTCGGAAAATTGGTGCGCCGACCAGCCAAACTCGACCGACAGCTGGCTCGTGATCTAAAAGGCCTGGCTCATCGCGATGATCCCTATGACACTGTGATCGGCAAAACTATGTGCTCAAACGACTTCTATGAAGGCCAAGGCCGCCTGGATGGCGCATTCTGTGAGTTCACCGAGGCCGACAAAATGGAATACCTCATGAAATTACAGAAGGCTGGCGTGGTGAATATCGAGATGGAGAGCCTCTGCTTTGCCGCTCTAACAAACCACGCCGGCATTCAGTCCGCCGTCGTGTGCGTGACACTGTTGGACCGACTCAAAGGCGACCAGGTATTATATATGTAATTTATGTATTTTCGACACTAAGCTCTACGTACGCTCGTGAAGAATTCTATATATGCTGCGCACGAGTTTTGCGTCACGAACAGCAAACTTTCGCGAGTTGATTTGCATTCTCATTTATATGCACTTTGCAAAATTGTGACAATTTCACGACGAGGTAAATGCATACTGTATATTATTCGTCGAACATAAAATTATAAATTAAAAATTATAAATGAATATAGTAATTACAATAAAGCTTGCTAATTTATTCAGACTATTATCTATAATTCTAAATGCAACTGGAACAGTCAACGTTATTGGATGCTTAATTTTTCTGAATTAATCAAGAATAACTTCTAATTGATCTTCGTAATTTGCAAAGGTTCTGGCACCCAAAGAAGTATTGGAAGAATGGCAGATGCGACCGCAGAAGCTGATTGCACGCTACATCACCACGTACCTTCAACGCAAGGGCCGTCTCTCTCTCGAGGGCTCACATGGTTCCATGTACGTGAAGAGTCCGCGCCGATTCATATCCGAGAATTAGGATTAAATGATTCTTAAACAAATCCGAATATGCAGCCGCGAAGATCTCCCAAGATATAATCGGACACGTCGCCGTCGGCTCGACTATCGGATGTACTTATGCCGCTCAAGCTGCTGTATCCGTTTATTTGCTCGCGAAAAGTTGATTTATTCGCGAAGAAAGTCGCGTGATAATAGAGTATTGAAGTACAGAAGAGACAAAGGATTTGAGGATAGGATTGGATTTGAACAATTTACATATCATGCACCACAATAGGATATTTTTGGCGCTTCTTGACAAACGCAATTATTTTAAACGTTTTATTTCTGTGCATAATATTCAAATTGTTCAAATCTGCTTCTTCGTTAATTAAATCTTCCCTTAGATAGATTCCCACTCGAAATATTTAAGAACAAAAATTTTGTGGATGAGAATATTTCCGAGAACAGTTGACTTGTAATAGTTAAATTGCGCAATCTTGCCTTGCATTTTAGACTGCGTTCCGTTATTCACTGCGAGTATTGAAAATCTATGCCCATAGATTCATAATCAGACCTTGTACTTAAGGTTTCGTTAAATTTATTTTTAGATGATCAGTATTTTTTGATCAGCCATTGAAATAATTCGTAGAGCATCTGAAGATAAATTTAAGAAAGAAAATTTAAATATAAGGATTGATTTTAAATACGGGAAATATAAGGCCTGATTTTAAATACGGGCCTTATAATTCATGTTACACATATACCATAGATTTTCAGTAAACACAGTGAGTAATGGAACGCAGCTTTATTGTGCGTATATCAATTTTGTTAAATATTCAATTGGACTTCAAATTAGATTTATTTTATCGACGAGTTCCCCGTACCCTGCGTTCTGTAGATTATTAATAATAATCGTAATATTAAAAGTAAGTACAGTTCCTCGCATTGCGAGAAAGCACACCGCCGTTGCGCACACCACGAGAATGCGTTAATTCCTGAGACCTCCGAAAATTAAATCAATACCGAAGCAACCGCCAAAGTTGCACTGCTCGTTCCGTGCGGTGATCCAAGTACAAAATGTGCAGAAACTTACTACGAACTGCGCTCAAAAACAATGCACATTTTTCACGATCACATATCTTTCGAGGTTGGATTGCATCATTCTTGATCAACGTGATCTTTGATCGTAATTAAAAATTGTCTTTCGATCTGTAACATTAAATGCAATTGAAGCGTTAACTTTAAATTTTCGCTGTTCAGAAGATCAATAAAAAGTACTCGATACATCCAAAATGTACACAATTATGATCGCTGCTATGCAATAAGAAATATTTGGAGGACGTTAATCAAAATGGTGCAATCGGTCTCGCGTAGTTCTGTAGAGATTTAATTTTAGGATTCGCTGGCAAGAACGCTACAACACGCGTTTATGCATTCGCCGATGATGCACGACATTTGGATGATTTTTTTTCTTTTTCTCGTTAAACGAGCGACAATGATTCTCTCGTAAATCTTCAGGGATTTGTATTGAGAAATTAGACGAAATCCGCTAACGGACCTATTTCACGGTTTATTACGAGGTTTGCGTGTTGCGTCGAGAGCAGTTTCGAGAGAACTTGTAAATTTAGCTACGCGCGTCCGCCAGCGTGTGACATACGCACTCGGCGACGTGGAATCTATGTATTAGCACTTTTAGCAGTTTGGTAGGAAAGCACATTCCATATATAAAAGAATTATATATATAAATATAGTCAAACAACTAGCGCGTTTTCGTTCGACTGTTACTCGTAACGTGGGCAGAGACTATGTACACATAACATGCAATATACATATAGATGTCGGGAACACATTCATGAAAATGCCCTAAACTGCATGGAGATTGGATTAGGAATTACAATAAAAATAACGTTTCAACAGATTGTCTAACAAATTATATTCTCCTCGTATGCGTTCCGGATTATTGAAACTCAGGTGCCTAAGAAAGAAGAAAAAAATGGTTAATAAATAATATTTCTCTTCAATCTTAATCCTTTCTCGGCTTCCTGTTGTGACCAATATACGTTATAATAGAGCTAAAATAGGGATGCCCGATTTGTCACAAACACAATGTAACTGTTAACTGCAATAACGTACGCATATATATATATATATTTCCCAGTAAACACAGTAATTACAGTTATCTTGTTGAGTTGACATTTTATGTTACATGTACGTTACGTGTAACATTGTGTTTACTGGGTTGATACTTTTCTGTACGTGGTTAAGATTGTATCAGTATAAAATGCAACATTCGTGATTTTAAATGTTAAATATTGCAATTTTGTTTATAAATTTTAATAAAACAAAATTTGGAAGATTTTCAAATTTTTCTATTACATCAAGGAAAAGAAGAACGCGAGCTTAATAGCCATTAATTATTTTTGATATTTCTAAAACAGTAGATAAATTTCTGCGACATAAAATTATAACGACGTTTTCTTATACACTAAAAAAATACTAAATTTTAATAAATATTTGTTTGAGTAATTATAAGTAAAAATATTTATTAAATAAATGTAAATATATATTTATTTCATACAAAAATTATTAATTTGATTTAACTATCATTTTTTTTTAGTAAATACATATTTTCTATAAGTAAATGTTTATTTAGTACTATTTAAAGAAATAATTATTAAGATTTAATAATAACATTTAAAATTCATGTGCTTTTGTGCATAATTAAATCAAAACGAAAATATAATATATTAATCGCGAAACAAACATAAATGCAAGAAAATGTCGCTGTCATTAAATTTATCGTCGCGCATTGCCTTGTTATAGAGATCATATTTCGTAGTTTATAATTATTGCATAAAAATTATTAATTATAAACTACGAAATATGTATGATCTCTAACAAGGCAATACGCGATAAATTTAACGACAGCGATACTTAATTTGTCCACATGATTGGGCAAAATACCATTAAAATGTATTTTAGGTTCAAGATACAAATTTCTAATTATCCCATTAACATTTTATACTTTACAACGAAGTGTAAGACATTATTGAAAATATGAAGATTCAAGTACAGTATACAAAATACAAAGTAATATTTTGCATTTCCTCATGATTTCGTGTCAATCATAACGCAAAAGACCGCGTATTAACGAAAAAATACTGCCTAGTCCTGAGCGCCCACGTTACGTCCTGTTTGTTATTATGATTAATATTCCATTACCTAGATAACAAAGTTGTATAGTTATGCGATACATCTTTATTATAATGGTATAAGATGGTTGTTAGCCGGTGCGTACAATTTGTCTTCGTCGTTCACATTCATTGCGGCGCGAGGATTCATTGCGAATACGTAAATACCAATCGTACCAATAGTAAATAATTGTGAAATAGTGTGGAGTTTCCCTATTTTATATTTTCTTAAATTTCGGCATGTTAATGCCAAACAAACAAATTCGGCAATACTTTCATAGTTTTTACTTACCGTATTTTATCCTTTGACTTATCTACAACATGCGCTGAGATTTACTTTCGATTATTTTTACGTGTCCACAATAAAATAGGTATACAAGATGTTCCAAGAAAGTTGTGCACGAATGGCAGGATACTCACTTTTATTATTTTCACGCGTAAATCTCGTGTAAGTTTTTGCTCTATGAATTTTTAGAATTGAATTCAGAACAATGGTTCTTTTTCGGAAAAATTAAATTATATTAAATTTCCTATGTTCTTTGGAAAGCATTATAATCATATATTGTCCAATCCTTTTATTTTAATCTTTCTGTCAATGTATAATTTTTTACCTTTTCACTTGTAAGCTTCATAATATTCTCGTTGAAAATATAAAAATGAAAATGAGATAAAATCTGTGCAAAACTGTTCTTTGTTATTCGAAGGGTAAAGTTTTTGAGACGTTCGCGTCATAACGAAATTTGCACGTAAACATAAACATTTTTACTGTTTAAAATTTGAATATACATTTCGTAGTACGTTATTTGAGGAAGAACCCTTTAGGAATGAAGTCTTGCTATTAAATTTGTCGTGTTTTTTAGACAACAAATTAATCATCGTGAAATCCTTTACTTTAATGATTAAAGAGATGGATAATTACAAATTTATAGTAAAAAACATCTTGAAGCACGTTTCTAAAAAAAGAACTCGAATCTTTTGAGAATAAACGCAATTTTTCTCGTGATCCTTAAAAAACAAATTAATCACACCGTGTAATCCTTTAATTAATTATAGATGAACAATTACGAAAATTTCAAAAAACTGTCTCGAAGTACGTTATTCAAGGAAAAATCGAATCTTTTGGAAATGAAGTCTTACTACTAGTACATATCATTCTTGGGACAAACGGTATTCTTGCCGAATCTTGCTGTCGCCTTTCTTTTCGTTCCACGAACAACGACATATCTGTGATGCGTACTTATAACGTGTACGAGGAGTATTAACAAAATGTACCTAACATTGATACGTAAAATATGTATATTCGTGTGACGATCTTATCTATTTTCCTCGCGAGTGCGTAATGGCTATTTCTCTACTAACAATGTTATAAATTACTCTGTAAAACCTTCGTTGTTATCCCTCCCTTCCTCGCATATAACTATACACTATTGATCTATTATGTCTCGTCGAGAGATATCGGCCGGACGTTCTACATTGTAAATTTGTTAATACTCAGCTATCTAATTGTATTATCACTGTAAACCGTTATTTATATACTAACCCACAAGACGTCTAACGTGTCCTTTTAAGAACTAATTCCTGGCATATGGGTTACATAAAAGAAGAAGAAAAAGAAAAAAAAATACTATTGTTGATTGTACGTTATAAAAGGACAATAAAAAATATTATGTACTTGACAGTCTTAATTTGTATTCCTTTCCTGAAGAAGATAATCGGATTCAAGTAGAAATTTACTTATTATCTATAGCTGAAAGTGCGGTAAAGACGTGACGCGAGCTGAAGATGCATATTTATAAAATAATGCACAAACAGACTTGCGTCTGGAGATGAATATCATATTTCGTAAATGTTAGGATAACGGAAGTGGTGCATTACACGCAAGGACTTTGCAAGTTCTCTGACAATTTAATCGCTCTCTTTGACAAACTTATAGTAGACGTTCGAAGATCAGCTTTCACTTTAAGTGTGATCCAATTCGGCTTTTAGCTTCGTCCCTCGTGGAAAATGCGCATATCAAATCCACAGAAATGGACAGACGTGATATATTCCAAGAGAAGTCACATTTTATTTCTTAATATCGCCAAGAAAGCTATAAGGACAATTCAGAATTCAATATATTAGACAGGCATTAACTGATTTTTTATGTAAGGAAAAATATCTTTAAAAAAGGAAATATATAGGGTGGTCTACTTAAATCTAACATCTTGAATATTTTACTTATTTTTGACGATATAAAAAAATGTTTCACGTGAAAGTGGAACGGTTTCGAGGGAGACGTATTTTGGTCACGTTGTTTTTTTTCTAGGTGGAAGCGTCAAAAAGATATGAAGGTCATCTCCACTTTTTCAAATGGAAAAAAATCACATAATTCCATTTACCGTTCCACTTTCATTAGAAACATTTTTGAATATCATTAAAAATAAGTGAAATATTCAAGATGATCGATTTAAATGGACCACCCTGTATAATATATATTAATTTGACATACATTAAATTATAATTTATAAAGAAAAATTAAGTTACCTCTTAAAACCTGCTTTGCTTTTTATTTTTATTTCCTATTTTTTATTCGTAGTTCCTAAAAAAAGAACGTTTTAATTTTGAAATAATCAAGAAATAAAATACTTAATTTAGTAATAAAATTAGCATTCATTAAAATACATTTGGAGATCGAAAATAATGATGTGGATTTATTTTCTTGTTATTTCTAAGAATAAAAAGATGGAGACGTATTGTTATTTCTTGATTCATCCTCGCACAGTGATCGGAAGTGAGTGGAAAGACGAAAATATATGAAGAGCGATTTTATTATACTGGAATTTCAACTCCTTACACAGATCATTGTTAATATACAGTTAGGTGTAGGTATCGACACTGAATATCGAGTATAGAGCGCACTACTTCGTCACCGCGTCGCGGCAGTGACGGTAATAGTAACGACGGATAGCGTGATGATAATCATATAGCGATAACGATGACATCAATGTTCAGACGTAACGATCTCACTATGCTAATTGGGTCTTGCTTAAAATGTTTTTAAAATGCCTGTGGGGAGATTCATGCATCCGCCTTATTCGCGTTCGTCTCGTAAGTCTTTGCCGCTCTTCCAGAGCACTTCCGTTTGCGACAGAAAACGATATTCAACTAAACGAAGCTCTCTAAATTCTTTGGAATGGAATCTCACTCTAAAGTATTCATAGTTTGTCCCTATTTCAAGACCATCTTAATGTTTCAAGATGTTAAAATACGATCCTCTGATTGGTTCGTGACTGTACTTAAAACAGTTTTAAATACAAGAATCGACTATGAATAATCTTGAAAAAGAGCGACTCAATTTTCAATCTTTAAGAGAGAGATTTCACTCTAAAAAAGCAGAGAGGGTATTAACAGACGCATTCGGAAACAAAGCACGTTAAGTGTCATCGAACCGGTCGACAATTCGTATAAAAAAATTTCTTATTCTTACAGAAAGTAAGAATAAGTAATCTCTTTTTTGAGTCCTCCTCTCGAATGATAAATGTCGCTCGGTTCCACGTCTCATAACGCGCTGTAACGGAAGTTATATCGCGCGGGCTCGCAGCACCTCGTGCAACGTACAGTTAGGTGTTATATTCGGTTCCTTATGTCTCTACACGCGCGTATAGGCCATAACTGCTTCCTTTTATTGCCGTCACCGTTCACCAGGAACGTAAGTATAAAACCGCACCAGCTGTGCAAGCCCGCGT